TTTTTTTTTTTTTTTTTTTTCTGTATTCCGTGGTCGGAAGAGTGCGCGACGCTCGTCAAGGTGACAAATAACCGGTATAGCTTTGCGAACTCGAACGCACTCTACAGGTGACAAAAAATCCAGAATTATCTAGATCTGCTGCTCACAAATAAGAGATTCAGGATGCAGCAAATCACTCTTTACTGAGGCGACTAAAAGGAATTCTTGCAGTTAACATTAAGGGTGAAACGAAAAAGAGATTCAACATCTATGGTTTTAATTACGGATAGGCTTTAGGAAATCGTTTTGAGAACTTCGTTGATCTGTGCGTAAAGAATGTCTTTGATGGGATGAGTTCCCATAGACAAACCGCCGCGAAGGGTCATTATTACAATTTTGTGATAAATTTCCGATTTGCTCGTTTTTTCAACATTTTCATAGCCGTTAACATGCTCACTAGTAGCCAGTCTCCCACATCTCGCACGTACTCCCGTGCAGTAATAAACTCTTTCAAGTCTTCTAAAGCCCTTTCTCCTAGAGTGAAGATACTAAGAAGTAAAAATTAGTTATTGTTGGGTTTAAGGGTAGATTAAAGGGTCAGTTTCCAAGGCAAGGTACAATCAAGTAAAAATTACTGATTGTTGACTTTCAGGGTTGGATTAAAGGGTCAGTTACCAAGGCAACCGTAGAGTTCCATCCTCATGGAGATGTGGCCCTTCCATGCTGTTGGTGTCAGTCTGATGTATCGTGCTTTGATTGGTGGAGTTAAGTGATGTTTTACCACGGTGTCAGAATCATTGTTTCCAACAAACACCTGCAGAAACACGAATAAACAAACGTATACACAAATTACTAATGTAATGCTTTCGACTCAGGAGAAGTTTTCGGCTTATGTTTCGACTTGGGACAATCGTACAAAACTGGGAACGTCCGCATTAGCGAAAATTGTCAGACTGTTTCGAGCCTTCCCTAACATATTTTTCAGATTAGCAGACCGTATGCTTTCAATACCGCCTGATATGCAATGGCTTTCCAGCTTTCTGATTGGCTATATTCTTCACACATGGATGGCGCGGGAGACACAATATAGATAGAATAGATGCGTTAAAATATATAGTTAAACAGGATAATCGGAACATAGTAATTCATAGATCGTTATGTTCCAAGTCTGTAAATGATATATTGTCGGAACGTCTTAAGTAGCGTAATGGGTTTTGGTAATTTACATTCATTGTAAAAGTGTTTAAAGCAGTGTATTGTAAAATAAGTAAACTGTGCGTTTATATATTGTTAGTTTACTTTTGACAATTCCAGGCATCCCAGGTGTCAGGAATACTTGTGGTTAGAGTGTCGATGTTGTTTGTTGTTCAAGACAGTTAGCCTTTTTGGCACAAGCTGGTTAACCGTTAGTGTTTGTTGATTATTTTTCGTGTTATTAAGTATATATTCTAACCTTATCTGCATTCTCTCCGTGCTGTTTTAAAACCTGAAATGAATTTCCATCGTTGCTGTACTGTAATTTGTATTGGGTCACCCACTGCTCGATATTATGCCTTCCTTGAGTTGCCACATAACTGACAGTTGTCTCAATTCCAAAATCGATTTGAATCCACTGATGTAGATCTCTCACTTTTACTGACCACGCGCCGGCATTACCCTTGTAGTGTAGTCTTCCATAGTTTGGGATATGACTTCCACTATATTGAGACGACGCTGTTATCTGTGTGGGAGTTATTTTAAAGTTTTCCATTCCCAACGGAGCCAGACACTCTAAACAATAAAAAAAGGCAAATGATTGTCGTATAGTAGATTTTACAGAATTTAAGATGGCGGAACAGATTCAAAAGAATAGTGCACTCTTTCTTTCTCTAACTCAACCATATTCAAGTTACATACCGTAAACTGCCGCTTATTAGCCCTGGGATTATACAACTTCGTAAGGGCTTTTAGATGCATATATGGCCTTATAAAGGGGGAGGGGCACTTGTATCCGAGGGGCTTATAACCGGAATGCAAAAACCCGTTTCTAAAATATGGAGAATCCGACGACAGGTCGGAAAATTTGAATTTTCTTTCATTGCGTCAAAAAGACCCTTTTGGTGAACTAGTTTCAGAAATATACCTTAAAAGTTCGAGCGAGTTCACATTTTTGTGAAGTCCAGGAAAGTTTGAAATACCGCTCAATCACTCAAGATGGCCAATAGAATTTATGCAAAATTGCCAGTTTTCAGCAGGCTAGTACAGAGAGAAGGGAACTTGCCTTGATTTCGTATTCACACAGTTTGTAATTAATTTACGCTTTGATGATTCCTCTGAGCTAAAAGTCAACTTGAAGTAAATCCTCTTGGCCGTTTGAAAAATACAACTATCGCAATTTAATTTACAAGCCAAATTCCAACTAATTTAGAACGTCAGAACTCTTTGACATGTACGAGTTACTAAAGAAAGAGCTATGCTATGGGTATACCATATCTAAATGGTTAGTTTGGCCCGAGAAAATTAAGCGCGCTAGACGAAAAATTATGAAGGATACTTTGACAAATTGCGCCATTTTTAGACGACCGAGCGAAACTTCGATACTTAACTCCAGAATTCTGAATGGCAGCCACAGTTGGAATTTACGCCCAGGCAAAGTACACATTCATTATACGATCAAAAGAATCAAATTAAAGGCGCAAATTTTGGCACTTTATCGTGAAGCAGGTACAGAAATTTATCAATTGGCAATTTTTGAGAATTAAACCGAAGGCTAATTACCAAAACATCCGTAGAGCTCTATCCTCATGGAGATGTGGTGATTCCATGCTGTGGGTATCAGTCTGATGTATCGCGCTTCGATTGGAGGAATCAAAGGATGTTTTACCACGGTGTCTTGATCACTGTTTCCAACAAACACCTAAAGATAAGTAAAATAAACGTAAATACAAGCTAGTTATAAAATACCTTCTAGACGAGTGGGAGTCTATATTGACTCGTTTTGTGTAGCCGGAGTCGTTTATGGGTGGTTTAAGTCGGTATAGAGTATGAAAGAAAGCACAGAATTATTAGGTTTGGATTTAAATCTGCGCGCTCCCACGCGTTTCTTCGAGATTTTAGAAGAAGTTTCTTCATGATTTTAGGACAAAAATAACCTTTTATAGAATGGCATAAATAAATTCATGTAAAATAAGTAATATTCGAAGACAGCAAAATAAATAAATTCTCTTCCAGCCCAATTTTTCTCTCCGTTTTCTTCTTTCTTTGTTTCGTAATTTTAATTGAAATTATTCGTTGACTCAAGGGGTGGTCGGAAAAGCGTTTTTCTCGGTTGCTGCAAAAGTGAATTTTGTCTCAATTGAAGGATAGAAGCGAAATCACTTAAACTGATTCTTCTGGAGATGAGATATGTGAATTATTTAACTCTACAATCCTTGTAATTGTGATTTTTCAAGACACGATGAGCATAGTTAGTCTGTCCAACACCCGTGACGGTGAAGGGGGCTTTCCTTTATGTCGCGTAAGCGGGGACGGGTCGCTGAACAGAGTATGGTTTTCAGGGCCTTTCATCTCAGTTGAAAAGCGGTTTTAAGTGTCACTATTTAATGTCTTAACTGGGTATGTCTGATACTTTGTTTTCTTGACTTCCTAAACCCCAACCCGAGGTCCGGCACTGGTTCCTTGATTGCCTGTCTGTATTTTTTTTAATTTGTTTTTTGTTGTTGTTCTTTTTTTTTTTATTTGTTTGGTCACAATTCTTCTCACCTTGTCTGAGTTCTCTCCATTCTGCTTATAAACCTGAAACGAAAGTCCATCCTTGCTGTATTGTAACTTGTACTGGGTCACCCGTTGCCCGGAGCTACCGTACCTCCCTTGAGTTGCCACAAAGGTGACATTTGCCTCAACACGAAGATCGATTTGAAACCACTGATTAGGATCACTCGCACCTGCGGCCCATGCTCCGTGGCCACCCTTGAAATGCAGCCTTCCGTGGCTTGGGAGATGATTTCCATCAAACTGAGAAGACGCTGAAATCTGTGCTGCTGCTATTTGAAGGTTCTCCATTCCCAAGGGACCTCCACACCCTAAAAGCAACAAAGATGAAAGTTGGACAATGATCTTAGATTTTGCTCAAGCTAAATAGTATAGATTCAAGGGCAACACACTCTGTCATTGTTTAAATCGTATAAGCTGAGAAGTCAAATGTATTTTCCACGAAAATTTAAAGCTGTAGAATTAAAGCATATTTCAATGCTATCTAGAAAACCATAGTTAATAGAGGAAAATGGTTAGGAAGGCTGGTAAACACCAAAGAAGCAAACAAACAGACTAAGATTTATGTTGGAAGGTCCTTGAGCCTGCACATCTTTTGTTTTATGCTCATAGACTATGCATAAATCACATATTTGCAATGCTTCATACCTCTTACTACCCGAGTTCGAGGTCCGCACTGTAAGTTACGGACCGAGTTTTTTCCCCGTCGATTTATGGCTCGCGCGCTTGGCGCTTGGGCCATAAATCGAAGGGGAAAAGACGAGAATCCGTAACTCACAGTACGGCCCGAAAAGACGGGGGCGCGTTCTATTCGACCAAATATTCCCGTTTAAAATTTCTGGTAATCCATGTGACGAATGGAACAGTATTTTCCGGTTGGTAGGACCAACACGTCCCAGGCCATCACGTTCCAAGTTTTTCCCCACGAAAAAAAAGGCCGACTGACCTTTTTTACTTGCTTTGGAGTTGCTCTACGACTCTGAAGTTGAAACTAACGATGTATTAGGTGAGAACGACGATATAACTTTTATCAGGGTAGCTAGCTCTTACATGCGTAGGAATTTAAAAGGAGTCTGCGACTACATTAAGGGTACGATATACCTCTTTATTTTTCTGACGAGTTCAAGAGTCGCTTTCGAATGACGAGGCAAGCTGTTCACTGCCCACGGTCGTTTCACGCAGCTTACATGTATTTGCGCAATAGTTACTACAGCTTGTTGTGGCCAATCCACTGCAATAAGTCGTCTGTCAAATAGAAAACATGTCGAGCACTGATATTGAGAAGCTTGAAGATCAGCCATGTTGAGTTCGATTTCCGCGTTCGGAAAAACTGGGCCCGCGCAGGAATGGTCGAGTGGAACGGAATTTTTTGGTTATTCCGATTTTACAGAATTTTAGGCCAACAACGCGAGGTACATCCAAAATTACGGAATCAAATTCCGGAAAATGTCTGTTCCATTTGCTTCCCCACCCGAAGTTTCCGGAATATTTGGCTGAATGGAAAGCACCCGAGCTTAGTAAGATATTTATTATATCTCTACTGTGTGTCTGACGGGTTCGGGAACGATTTCTACTTACGCGGAACGGCTTCAAATTTCTAACTCACGTCGAAAGCAAAACGGGTCAATTTGAAATCGTTACATGTATGAAGTCGTTAGCCCGTTTTAGTACATAATTTAAAGTAAAAGAGAATTTTAAACTTTTAATGCTGTAAAAGTCAAGAATACTTGGCGATAAATTACGAAACATTTCGGCGACAAAAACATGCAGCTTCAAATTTTAGCGGGCCATACAGTAGAATACGACCCGCCAAATTGACCATTCATTGCGCGCGTAGTAACTGAGAGATATAAAATATTGGTTAGTTGTATAAGCACATTTATTATTCAACTTTCATACACCCTACGAATTCCGATTTTCTAATAGGCTGATTTGTACCACGTGATACCGGGTTGTGACGAAACCACCACCTGGACGTCATTTTCGTGGCGTAATAGCCGTGGTGTAAATTCAACACACCACTGTCATTACGCCATGGCTTCGGCTGATAGTGGTTTCAATGCAGTGCTTCTTTGTGCAGTGTATTCAATTTGAGTAATAAACATGTTCACGCACTCATTGCTCGTAAATGATCGGGATTTACCTGTCCTCGTTTAGTAACAATGAACTCGAAATTTTCAATACCGCACTCGGCAAAGCCTCGCGCCGTATTGAAATTTCTCGTTCATTGTTAGTGAATTCGTACAAGTAAGTCCCGATAATTCACTCGCTGAGTGCGTTAACCTGTAAATAAACACCTTTTGCATTTTGCCGGGTTTTGTGCCGGATCAACCTCCCAAATTGCCAAAAAAAAAAACATGCAACAGAGAACTTTGCCAGGTTTCCTAACTGTTTTACTCTATTAAAGGCAGACATAATCAGCATAAATTAAATTCAAATATATTCCACACCATAAAACGTTTTTACTTCCAGAATCACTGATGAATTTTGCAAAATAAAACTACTCTCTCTTTGATGACGCTTTTGATTATCGTTCGCTCTGTTCTTAATAATTAATTAAGACAACCATAAAAAACAAACACAGTTTTTATTACTTTTTTAAAAATGCCACATCCTTGCTAAAACTGAAAAAGGACCATTGAACAACAGCATGACTGTAAATGAAAATCCTAGTATTATTTACCTCTCGTGCAATGAAAACCACTATAGCCCGGCGCGCAAACACAATGGTATTGATCCTCTTCGTAATTTGGGATGCAGCTGCCGTTATTTTTGCACCGATTCCTTGAGCAAGGCGTCTACAATAAAACAAAAAACATGAAAATGTATAGCATTGTTGAAACACGTTTGTACGAGTATACAGAGAATGCAGAAAAATATGATTATAGAAAAGTCTCCAACAGCCAAACACCACGCGTAATTACATCATTTCTAATCTTTTCTTCATATGTAATCAAGAGTTGGATGAGTTCATCACTTTGCTAATTTACATATCAAACTTGAATATATCTGGAAAAAAAAAAGAGATTTGTAAAAAGTCAACAGCAGTTTTCTTCTCGTACAGACTACTTGTTTACGTTTTAAAACGGCTTAAGATGACAACATAACATACGGCATATCTAGAGTTTGCTCTCAAAATAGCTCCCGCGAGGACTGCACCTCGCCCGCAACAGACACTTAGATCATGATCATAAAATTTATTATTTTATTCCTCCAATTTCATTTTTCCTCTTTTCTTTACAAGAAAAAAATCCCACTAAACACACATCATTGTTGGTAAAACAACTCTTTGCAATAGTGAATATAAATGTTATATTAAGCTGGATTTCAAATTATCAATAATACCTTTATGCTGTAATGGTGAAATTGTTGTGAGTCGGTCAGTTTGTCAGGGCTTCTAAACTTGTCTTCACTAAGCAGCTCGCAGCGAAGCTTTCCATTTTCGTTTGGAGACAAAGCAAGATTGTACGAAACACAGGGTGCATTAGCAACACAGGCGAAACTGCACTCTGTGGCCCGGGCTACTTCACAAGAAGAGTCTAAGAGAGATCCTTGAAGATGCTGAAACTTGTGAGCTTTAAAATTTGCGTACGACAACCCGTGTTGAAAACTAGATCGCTTTAAACCATGATCACCTTGGATCAAACGTTGATGCTGGCCTGTAACGCACGGAAAACGGAACAGAACAACTGTAAATAGAAAATTAAACATTCCTGTTAAGCGGAAATATCGTGTCAACGCGAAATATCTTCCTCGACTGGATACATATTTAAACGGTTGTTTTCTAAGGTAAACTCGAAACGCCGAAAGGATCCGAAAGAGCGAATCGATCAACTCGTCAATCAACCAGTCAGCGAATTACATTTATGTAAGTCAAATTTTAGTGCATCTTGACCATCTTTGTCTTCATTTTCTAAGCGAGGCCTGGTGTAAAACGTTTGATATGGATACGAGGTCATTTTCACCCAAAATAAACAAGTTTTGCGTAAGACAAAAAGAGAATATTACATGACCGCCTGGAGATAAAAAAATAATAATAATAATTTCCTGCTGATAGCATCTCTTAGGAGTGAGCCAAGAGAAGATGAAATTTGTGAATAGGCGGCAAGCGGCCATGTAATGTTTATTTTGTAGAGGGTTTGGATGACTTGCGTGAAGCTTAGGTGATTGCTCAGTTATCAGTAAAAAAAAAAAAAA